TCGTTTCCTTTGGATATATATCTAGAAGTGGTGGGGTGCCTGGGTGGCTCAGTGGGTTAAGCCTCTGCCTTTGGCTCAGGTCATGATCTCAGGGTCCTGGGATCGAGTCCCGCATCGGGCTCTCTGCTCAGCAGGGAATTTGCTTCCCCCTCTCTCTCTCTCTCTGCCTGCCTCTCCGTCTACTTGTGATCGCTCTCTGTCAAATAAATAAATAAAATCTTAAAAAAAAAAAAACTTTAGAAGTGGGATCGCCAGATCATATGGGAGGCTTTCGCCTTTCCACATAAACTTTAGAATTAGTTTGTCTATACACACAAAATAGTTTGCTGGGATCTTGGTTGGAATTGCTTTGAATCTCTAGACTAGGTTGGGAAGAATTGACAATTCAACAAGATTGAGTCTTCCAATCTGTAAACACAGAATATCTCTCATTTATTTAGATATTTTTCCTTTCATTGGTTTTGAGGTTGGCTGCATATGGATACTAAAGATAGTTCATTAGGTTTATATGTAAGTGTTCCTTTTTTGGGGTGGGGTTGCCAGTATAAATGGTACCGGCCTTGGGGCGCCTGGGTGGCTCAGTGGGTTAAAGCCTCTGCCTTCGGCTCAGGTCATGATCTCAGGGTACTGGGATCGAGCCCTGCGTCGGGCTCTCTGCTCAGTGGGGAGCCTGCTTCCCCCTCTCTCTCTGCCTGCTTCTCTGTGTACTTGTGATCTCTCTCTCTGTGTCAAATAAATAAAATAAAATCTTAAAAAAAAAAAATGGTACCGGGCTTTTAATTCCAAGTTCCAATTGTTTGTTGCTGGTTTATAAGAAAGCAATTAACTAAACTATATTAACCTTACATCCTATGACCTTGCTATAATTGCTTATTTTTGAGAGTTTGTTGTCAATTCTCTGGGATTATCTACAAAGGCAATTGCTTTTTCCTTCCCAGTCTCTCTGTCTTTACTTCATTTTCTTCCCCAATTGCTCTGGCCAGAACTTCTAGTATAATGTTGACTAAGAGTGGTGAGAAGTGACATTCTAGCCTTGTTCTTGATCTTCAGGAGAAAGCATTCAGTTTCTCACTGAGTATGATGATGTTAGCTGTAGGCGTTTTATATATATTCTTATCAAGTTCAGATAATTGCAATTTCCAGTTTGTTCAGAGTTTTTAATCATGAATGGACGTTGAATTTCATCAAATGCTTTTTTTCCCTAAACAGTTGTCATGATTATGATTTTCTTCTTTAGCTTGCTTATGTGGTGAATTAGACTGATTTTTAAATGTTGAACTAGCCTTAGATACCTGAAATAGCTCCCACTTTTAATTTTTTTAATACAATGCTGAATTGATTTGCTAATACTTTGTTGAACATTTTTCATATTCATGAGAGTTATTGGTCTATTATTTTCCTTTCTTGGAATCTTTATCTCATTTTGTATTAGAGTATGCTGGCCTCATAGAATGAGTCAGAAAGTAACTCTCTGCTTCTTTTTTATGGGCCCTTATTTTAAAAATTGTTCTTATCACTTGTATTGTCAATATTTATGTAGATTTCCAACATGTTTTTACTGTTGCCTTGCTCAGTACTTATTGATTTTTTAAAAAAGATTTTATTTATTTATTTGACAGAGACACAGCCAGAGAGGGAATACAAGAAGAGGGAGTTGGGGGAGGGAGAAATAGGCTTCCTGCTGAGTTCGGAGCCTGATGTGGGACTCGACTCCAGGATCCCAGGATCATGACCTGAGCTGAAGGCAGAGGCTTAACCCACTGAGCCACCCAGGCGCCCCTCTTTGCTTACTTTTTCATCTGTTATTCCATTTCTTCGTTAAATGTACATTATTTCTCTTAGCAAGGATCTGTATGAAGTAAAATCACTTAGTAGTTGATATCTGAAAATGTATTTAATCGTTGCTCTTTTTTTTTTTTTTTGGCAGAGAGCATGAGTCCAAGCAGGCAGAGGGACAGAGAATCCTAAGCAGGATCCATGCTCAGTGTGAAGCTGACGCAGGGCTTGATCCCATGACCCTGAGATCACGACTCATGGTGAAATCAAAAGTCAGATGCTTCACCAACTGCACCACCCATGCGCTCCTTCACCTCTGTTCTTGAATAACAAGCCTGAGTATAGAATTCTCATTTATGAAATTTGCTGTGATTTTCCCTCAGCCCAGTCATGATTATTATTCCACTATTTTTTGGTATCTGTCATTGCTGCAAAAAAGTTTATTGTTAATATGAATAGTCTTTTCTTTCTAGTAATTTTTAACATTTTCCCTTTATCTCTGATGTTCTCAATTAATGGGACCTTTTAAACCTGAGGACTCAGGGCACCTGGGTGGCTCAGTTGTTAAGTGTCTGCCTTTGGCTCAGGTCATGCTCCCAGGGTCTTGGGATTGAGCCCCTCAGCAGGGGGCCTGCTTCTCTCTTTCTCTCCTACTCCCCCTTATTGTGTTCCCTCTTTCACTATGTCTCTCTGTCAAATAAATAAATAAAATCTTAAAAAAAAAAAACAAAAAAACCCTGAGGACTCATGTCTTTCCTCAGTTTGGGATATCCTTAGGCATTTTAGCCTTGCATATCCCTTATTTTCCCTGTTCATTTGTGAAACACTTTTTTTTTTTTTTTAAGATTTATTTTTTTATTTATTTGAGAGAGAGAGAGAGAGAGCAAGAGAGCACAAGTTGCGGGAGGGGCAGAGGGAGAGAGAATCTCAAGCAGACTTCCTGCCAATCATGGAACCTGACATGGGGCTCAATCTCAGATCATGAAATGAGCTGAAATCAAAAGTCAGATGGTTAATTGACTGAGCCACCCAGGCACCCTCATATCTGGAACTCTTATCTGGAATTGGAGATCTCACCTTTTTTTTTTAAATTATTTTCTATCTCTACTTCTTTAATCTGAGTCCTGGGTGATTGCCTCAGCTGTATTTTATAATTCATTTGCTGTACTTTTTAGCTGTGTCCAAACTGATAATTATCCCTCTCTTTAAATTTTTAGTTAAATAATTATTTTTCCTTTTCAATATTATTTTTTAATTTTTTTTTTAAGATTTTATTTGCTTATTTGACAGAGATCACAAGTAGGCAGAGAGTCAGTCTCCCTGCCAAGCAGAGAGCCCAATGCGGGGCTCAATCCCAACTGGGATCATAACCTGAGCCAAAGGCAGAGGCCTTAACCCACTGAGCCACCCAGGTGCCCCTCAATATTTTTTTGTTAGGGCTTTTCAATACCTGCCTGTTTTTGTTTCACAGCTGCTTTTTCTTGATTTCTGAATACCATCCCTTCTTTTCTCTCTGGGGAATTTAAGAATATATATATTCTTACTCTATACGTTCTCTTGTGGTGTTATCTACATTTCTGCCAGCATAAAGTACCTCATTTGCTGGACCCGGTCCAGTGTTCATAGCACTGAACTGACTCATATGTTTTGCCATTTTGTCGGAAGACTCTTCTTTCAAATGAGTTTTTCCTTCACTGTTGGGTGGTTTCCTGTTTGCACATTCTTAAAATTTGATCTGAGGGTAGTGGTCTAACATTTCTTCTCTGGGCAGAGATTAAATTCTGGAAACTAGGTGTGAGTCAGTTTTCAGTCATGCAAGTACCCTGTGTCATTCTCTTGCTGTGGGCAAGAGGTATATTTTTGGTTCTAGATCTAATAAGCAAGCTATTTTAGCCCCTATTCTTGAGCAGAAAGCATGATTTCCAGCCTTGGCTTTGTACCCAAGGCTCTCAGGTTAGTCTGCTCCCACCCTGAGGAACGTGAATAAGGCTCCCGTTCTCAAGCAGGCATGGGAGACTGTGCCCCTGGCTCATATCTGACCTTAGCTCTCCACAAGTTCCCGGGGGCAGACTTTTAGCTAAAGATTTTTGTTGTATGTGTTCATCTTTCCTTTATTTCTGTATCTGTAATAGAAGAGAGTGGTTGCAGTCTGTGCCATCTTGACTTGGAAGGTCTGAGTTATTTCTATAATGAAAAAATATGCATTCTTAGATAAACATGGATGAAAGAGCTGGCTCGATAGACATGTGATACACCACAATGATTAAGCACATAATCCTTGGAGTTAGACAGATCTGGGTTTGAATCCTAGCTCTGCTAACGTGCTAGTTGTGCAGTCTTTTTTTTTTTTTTTTTTAAAGATTTTATTTATTTATTTGACAGAGAGAGATCACAAGTAGGCAGAGAGGCAGGCGGGGCAGGGGTGGGGGGAAGCAGGCTCCCCTCTGAGCAGAGAGCCCGATGCAGGGCTGGATCCCAGGACCCCAGGATCATGACCTGAGCCGAAGGCAGAGGCTTTAACCCACTGAGCCACCCAGACACCGCCTAGTTGTGCAGTCTTGAGCAAATTATATAATCTCTGTGTGCCAGTTTCCTCCCTGCACAATGGATATAACAATACTGCCTGGGCTATTATGGACTGAATGAGACAATGCATTTAAAATCCTGCATAGGGGTGCCTGGGGGGCTCAGTCGGTTGGTTGTCTGCCGTGGGCTCACGTCATGATCCTAGGGTCCTGGGATTGAGCCCCGCATCAGGCTCCTTGCTCAGCCTGCTTCTCCCTCTCCCACTACCCCTGCTTGTGTTCCCTCTCTCACTATCTCTGTCAAATGGATGGATGAAATCCTTAAAAATAAATAGATAAATAAATAAATAAATAAATAAATAAAACCCTGTGTTGCCTGGCACATGGAAATTCCTCTCTCCCCTCTTCCCAGGTCCTCACCTATTGAAATGGGTGTCAGAACCAGGCAGAGGAGACTGAGTGAGCATTTCCATTGCTGGTGGAGTTGTTGGAGAACAATAGGAATATTAGGTCATGGATATCTTTCCAAAAAATGATGCCTCTTGTCATCATTAATCCCATTTTCAACAGATTGTGTTACAATATCCGGGCCAATACAAAGAATTTATTACCACATGCATGTTAATACTGCTTTGTTGCTGCCCCTCCAATAGTTCACTTGCATAAGAAACATTTTCAAAATATGCTGGTATCTTTCAGAGATTTCAGAAGAGGAGTTTGTTGGTGGTATGGATTTTTTCTCTGCCTGTGAGTGCTTTGCATGGTAAGGAGCAGGAATAAGACTGGAAGAAAGCATGACTAGGTGAGCTTGAATAAGATGCTAAATGTTAAAAGGAATGTGGTGATTCTTTTTTCTTATCATTAGTTAATTAGCATGTAATTATAATATTTCCTAAAATAAGACCCAGACGCAAATTTCCTCCATTGACTAGATGCTTTCACTACTCCACAACATCCTAGACATGTACTGATGCTCATGTTTTGTATTTTCATCAGCCAGACACAAGTAACCAGAAAACTCTTTTTAAAATAAATGTAAATCCTCTTCTCTCTTCCTTTTGTCATATATAAGTAGACACACGTAGGCACATAAGCAAAACCACAAACACAACGTTTTTGTATTTTCCCCCCTCCAATCTGGACTCAGGGGCTCATTATTATTATTATTATTATTTAAATAGCGATGAAATCTACAAACATAAAATCCCCCATGTACACCATTTCAAGTGGGCAGTTCACTGGGATTAAGTATATCACACTGATGTGAGACGATCACCATCCATCTCCAGAAAATTTTCACCAAAACACACTGTTTCGAAAGCTATCCATTTTATTAAGTACCTCTCGTTCAAGCAGAACAGCCAAAGAAAGAAATTCAGACAGAGCGACAGGGACACTGCCAGCTGCTGCATTTCAGAAGCAGTAAAGTATCCTGCTTTGAAAAATCTCTTTCTACTTTGTCATTCCTTGCAAATCTTGCAAATTCCTGGCTTTATGAAAACAAAATTTAAAATAGAAAACAAATATTTTGTCCCTGCTGGTATATAACAAGCAGAGTTTATAACAAAGCAACTGTTTTATAGTCCTCCAAGCTCATTAAAACTTCATTCTTCCTGTTGTGCTCTATCTTTTGGACAGGTATATAATTAAGATAGATGGCATGTGTGATCTTAAGAGCTCCCTTATCAGAGAATGTTCTGGCCAAATTCAGTTTGTTACATTATATTTTGTTTTTTTTTTTAATGTCCCTTAGTATCATACTTCTTAGCTGTCTCCATAATATCAAATGTAGGTCATTTTCATTCCTAAAATGTTTTCAACCTTTGCTATATCCACTAAAGAAGTTTTAATTCTGAGATGTCTGAATTTTACCACTGATGGGAGAGATCTTTTTCTGGCATTAGGTGTAAGTTTTAAGGCAGTGAAACATGAATTGAACTATGTTTGTGGTCGGTCGTTATCTTTCGCTTCTTCTGTATTTTCTAAAAATTTTGTCATCCTGTGAAGATATGCCAGGCCATCTTATTAGAGCATGGTATCCAGAACTCCCTCCACCTTCTTGGAGCTTAAGAATGTTCTAGAATATTATCAGGTAGGAACGGAGCATCCAGGATCAGGAGAAGGGGCTATGCAAAATCTTTGGCACGAGTGGACGTCGCCTCCTGGGTGGTCGCCAGACAAAGGGCTGACTGTGGAGAGAGGGAAGCCTCGCCCAGGGAGCGGCAGCTGGCCTAGTCTGGGAGCCAGCATGGCGGCTCCCAAATTACTCCTTCATTCCCTTGCAGTGGTCCTCAAATCTATTTTTTCTCCTTTGTTTCAGTGGTTTTTTCACATTCAACCACCACCCTCTGCCCTCAGTTAGTCTCTTCTCCTCTAGTCTGGAATAATATTTTCTGTTCCTCCAGAGCAAATCCCACAGCTATGCCTCACATTTCCCAAATTTGGGTCTAGGCCTAGAGACCTCCAAGTGCAAAGGCCTTTAAAAACGACCACTCTGAATTCCTTTCTTGTCTGCCTCCCACCACCTCACATCTCACCCTCAAGGCAACAGCCAAACAACAGGGGCTTGGAAAGGGGAGGGACAGCTACAGAGAGCATAAAGGAAAGGGAAGTTTTTCATTAATATTTCAAAAACATCGTCCCACTGTGACGGAGAGAAGTAGATTTTGTCTGATGGACATAAAATACAGTCAGGCTCTCTACTAAGAAAACTGACCTACAGAATGCCAGTCCCTCTCTAGCCTCAAAGGATAGTCCCTTAACAATTTTTTTAGAAAAAACAAACAAACAGTAAGTTGGGGTGCCTAAGTGGCTCAGTCTGTTAAGCATCTACCTTCCGCTCAGGTCATGATTCCCAGGGTCCTGGGATTGAGTCCCATGTTGGGCTCCCTGCTCAGCGGAAAACCTGCTTTTCCCTCTGCTTGTGTTTTCTCTGTCAAATAAATAAATAAAGTCTTTAAAAAAAAAAAAAAAGGAAGAAAGAAAGAAAACAATAAGAGAATTTGTTTTTGAGAAACTTAACGTCCTTACAAGGAAAATATTCTTAGAACTTTTTAAAAATGTCAAAAATAGGGTGCCTGGGCCCACCCCTAGAGACTTTGATTTAATTGCCCTGGGATGGAACTCCAAACAAAGCTAATTCTTAAAGTCCCCCACATAGTCAGTGTAGGGCGGAAACCCTCCTCCGTATATAAACAAGGCATACTCACTCATGAGACACAGCATATACACTGCCCAGGCCCACAATACTCTCAGAAATCCACAGACATAATTAATTTATTTTAAAATTAGAGGTGAAAAAAAATGAACATTTAGGTGGAAGAACATGTTTTTCTGTATAATATTAACATGCTTTATACTAATGCATTTGTAAAATACAATTTTAATATTTTTTTGGAAGAAGGGACCTATGCCCAAGTGCCCAGGTACCACAGAAGACCACGTAGCCCTATAGTAAAGGAGCCAGTGTAAGAGTACATCTTTGAGTACTCTTTAATATAATTATTCTGTTCACTTTAAAATATAGCAGTAATTTGGGGCACCTGGGTGGCTCAGTGGGTTAAAGCCTCTTCCTTCAGCTCAGGTCATGATCCCAGAGTCCTGGGATGGAGCCCCGCATCATCGGGCTCTCTGCTTAGTGGGGAGCCTGCTTCCTCCTCTCTCTCTGCCTGCCTCTCTGCCTACTTGTGATTTCTGTCTGTCAAATAAATAAATAAATAATCTTTTAAAAAATTTAAAAAAAATAAAATATACCAGTAATTTAAAAAAAATCAGTAGTGTTTAGACTTTGCCCTGGCAATAGTGATGCCTACATTGTCTTTACTATGTCCTGTCCACTTCAGGTGGTTTGTGGTGGCCTCTAACTCACTTCAGTGAGCCCAATGTAAATTCCGCTGTGTTACCCATGACAGCCTAAGAGGCATTTTTGAGGGTCTAGTCTTTTATGCCAACATTTAATGCCATGTTTGATGTGGAGCCACTGACCGGGTCCTGGTGGTTTCAGAGACAGAGTGGATTGGAGGCCTCAGAACAAGAGAAGCTTTGGTCCTGAGTGAGAGGCCCAGGGTGACTCCTGTCCCCACCAGTGTAGGCGCTTTCCACTCTGGCTGTGCTGGCTCCTGATGCCCAGCTCAGCTCTTGCCTAGCCTGTCCTGCAGGCAGAGCTTCCTGAGGCTCACTTACACTTACACACAAACTTCTGCTGCCCCTTTTCCTTCTTTCCAAGCCCACATCCAAAGCTTAAAAGTCGTCATCATTTGTGTTGGCACAAATTCTGGAAATCAAAGTGGTGAGGGAAAGGCCTCTGGACATCCATCTCCGTGTCCTCATCGCTCATGGAAGGGTCTCAGGGCTGGGAGGGACAGAGTTCTCAGGCACGGAGGGACGGCTCCATGCTGGGTTCTGGGGGCACATGGTCCCCTCTAAGCCCTGAGTGTGAGCACACGAGGGCGAGCAGGGGTGCAGTGGGGGGCCCAGCGCCAGGATGGCTCAGTCAGTTAAGCGTCTGCCTTTGGCTCAGGTCAGGATTCCAGGGTCCTGTGTGGGGCTCTCTGCTCAGCTTCTCCCTCTGCCCCTCCCCACCACTCATGCTTGTGCTCTCTGTCTCTTCTCTGTCTCTGAAATAAATACATACAATCTTTTAAAAATAAATGCATAAATAAAGCACACAGGGGAAAAACTGCCTCCAGCCCCCCATCTAGAAACTCCCTGCGGCCACCCAGGTGCTGAGGGTCCCTTGGCTTCATGCAGGGTGCTGGAGAGGGGATGACCCACCCTCTTCCAAAACAAGGGAAGGAAGGCTTGGGATGGAATCTACATAGAAGCTTGCAGTCTGAAGGCCTGGGATTCTCCAAGAAAAGCTGACAGACCCAGGAGCCGTGGAGATTGCTCCCTCACTTACTCATTAAGGAGCTGGTCTTGGGCAAGCTGTGTGGCTTTTTTGAGCCTCAACTCCCTCATCTATAAAATGGGGATAAGAACATCTACCTCACCAGGTGGTTCTGACATTTAAATGTGAAAACGTGAATTTCCTCAGACTGCCCTGGAAATCCAAGTTCCCACTACAGTCACTGTCTCCTTGGTCACAGGACTTTAGACAGAGGGATTCACCAGCCTGTGGACTTCAGCTCACCCTTTAGTAGCAGCTCACAAGCCCTATGCCAACTCCTTACACCTAAGTGCTAGGAAAATAAAATGTATTGACTTTTGCAAAATAAACTAAATTCTAGTTTTCATTATTTCAGGACTAGTTTCCAATTTATCCCTTGGTATTTCTTCTTCAGACATACCCAGAAAAGTGCATTCTGGAAGGAGAACTCCCCTGTTTGAGAGCTTTGGCAATCCTAAATAAACAAAAATGCAACATTTAAAAAACAGCTCATCTGGTGTTTCATGTCTCATCTGCTGCTCAGTTGGTCTGAGAATGTGGCCCAAAAGATGGCTTAGATGATCTATGACCAAGTAATCCAACCCCCGACAAAAGATTCATTAATTTGCTACAGAGAAAATGTGGCCCACAGTGTCAAAGTTTAAAAAAAAAAATTTTTTTTTTAAAGTTCTGTTTTCAATTTGGAATTTGAGCTATCCTGACGTTGGCCAAAGTGTGGTGGAAAGGCAAGTGTTTTATATCCTTGAGTTATTTTGGCATAGCCAGGACACTCAGGGGATAAGATTCAACAAATGCGTCTTCACTGAATTCGTGTCAGTGATGTCAGAGTGAGCGAGGAGACAGGGATTGTGAACTTGTCCTGTTTCTATTAGTTCCTCCCTCGGCTGATCAGCTGAGCTCTGCCTTTCCTACTCCAGACAGGCATGATGAGCTTCTAGAAAGTTCGGCCCTGTTTGGGGTCAACAGAGTCCCAAAATGAACATAAAATTCTTTTGACTATGCTGGATCTCCCTAATGTTGCTATTCTCTCTCTCTCTCTTTTTTTTAATTGTGTGCATTGAAATACCTGTGGGAAAAATTCATAGTCTCCTTAGAGGAAATTCTGGAAGGGCAGTGTGGAATCAACTCAACCACGTTTCATTTTTTCCCTCCTCTTTTGACATGTTCACCTATATGATAGGGATATCCTACCTTTAAAGTGAGTAAAAAAATAAAGTGACTGTGTCTTTATCTTCCTGTCTCCCACAGCATAAGAACGTGTAAATGGCACACTCAGCTTCATTACCTTCCTCCACACTACACACAAACACATTTGTTTTTCCAAAGGCTATTTAGGATCTTTAAACAGTAATTAGACTCCACCTCTTCCCTGTGGGGTTCATGAATATCACCTCCCTTTAGAGACCCTGGGATCAAGGCTACAGGATATTAAATTACTAGTCCAAGGCCACGGGGCAAGTTTTGTTAGAATCAGATGGGCTGGGCTATATTCCCTGGTCTGGCCACAAAATGAACTCAGAACCTGTTTTCAGTGCATTTCCTGATGGCTATGGCTGCGCCCAGGGAATAGCATGTGTTTGTTTATTCATTCATCAAACATTTACTGGGACACCTGCCATGCGTGAGTGTCTGGAGACTCAGTGAGGGGTCTGGCCCTCTCCCTGCGGTTGAGGGGCTTACCATGAGTTGGGGGGACTGAGTTATAATAGGTGCTGTGCAAAAACTCTGCACGGCAACATGGGTGGACAGAGAAGGAAGGACTTGAGCTAAATTTTTAAAGATAAAGAGCCAGGAGAAGGGCATTCTAGGTAAAGGAGCCTTGAGAGCAGGCCCAGAGTGCAGGGGGAGGTGAGCAGGGAGCCTTGTTGAATTCTCTGGCATCTGGGCCAGAGCCTGCATGGCTTTCCATACCTTGCCAAAGGGTTACTTTGTTTTTTTTTTTGTTTTGTTTTGTTTTGTTTTTTCTCCTGGAGGCCAAAGGAAGGAAGACCTAGCAAGTTTGCCAGCCCACAGGACTCTAGAACTTCAAAGAGAAATTTAATTGTTTGGTATATTAAGTATCTTTCTCTAGCACCTACAAGAGTGAACACTTAGACAGGTGACTCACTGGAAACAGAGGTTCTTAGCCCCGTGTGGGAAGGGTGGACGGTCTAGAAATGAGATAGGGCACCCAGGGAATGGCCTCCCCTCAGCTTTGGCTCAGAGCCTGGCCTTGCTGGGGAGGGCACAGCTCGGTCTCCGTGGATGGCACAGAAGTCGCTGTGGTGCCAGGCTGGTGGGACTGGCTAGACGTCTGACCTCTAAGGTTCCAGGGGAGTCTCTCCACTGTGAAACAGCTTGGGAGTGATGCAGTGGGGGGATCCTACCCAGAGAAGCTGCTAGACGGTTGCTGTAGCTGCAGGAGGCAGGTGCTGAGGACCCACATGTGCTATGAGAGCTGTCGCTGTTGGGATAGTTCTGTGCAAACCCAGTGTCACTCAGGGCTGTCAGCTGCCCACGTGGAGGGAGCGCTTTTACCCCAGGCAGCTGGGGTGGGTAGTGTAGCCCCAGTGGCAGTCCTTGCTGGACCTCTGGGAAAATTCTCCAGCCACCCCCCCAATCCCCTGACCTTCAACTTGTCAATTCTGGGGGTGGGGGAAGCATGGAGCATCTTCTCCAGAGGCACCATTGCACCCTCATGATGGCTGCCTCCTTCCCTCTCTCACTTTTCATGCTCCCTCACTCCATGTCCAGGGATCCTTTCTGGAGTAACCCCTGGACCCTCACCCTGTCTCAGATTTTCTTCCGCCCCCACTTTCTTCCCAAGCAGAGCTTCTCCATTTCAACCCAATAAACCACTTTACTCTTTTCTGCTTTACGCACTTCCTCCTGTTTCCTGTCTTGTATGTCTGAGCTCACCTTCCACAAACGTCCTTCCACACTCCCATTACTCCCCACATTCCCTACATCCTGGCAGCAGGAGCCACAGGATGCAGCTGCCCCCTTTTCCCCGGGGCCCCTCCCGTGTTCTGCATCACTACTTCTACGTTATTTATACTACAGCATTTCTTTGCATATTTCCGCATCATGTATTCCACGGACACAAAATTTGGTGGAGAAAAGAGACATTTTCTTGACTCTTCCTCCTGAAAATTTCACTTCTGGCAGGTTGCTCCAATTGACAAAACAAAAACAATAAAAAAACCCCAACCTCCTCTCCACCAAATCTCTTTCTATAGGCTCAGTTGCAAAAGTCAAGGGAGAAAGACTTACACTGAATAAAAATAAAGGAAGGATGCTTTTCCAAAATTTCTGAAGCTTTGTCTGGAGAGAAATGTTTGCTTTCAGTTAGGACTGAAGGGGTTTGAGCATGCAACCTGATAGCTGCTTCTCTGATAAACTAACCTCTACCCCGTCTGTCTCTCTACTTACCCTCAAAGGCTCCTCTTATTTTTGTTATTGGCCTTGAAGTATTGGGGTGGGGGCAGTTGCTGATTAATGCTTATTTTTATTTTTATTTTTTTTAAGATTTTATTTATTTATTTGACAGAGACCACAAGTAGGCAGAGAGGCAGGCAGAGAGAGAGCAAGGGAAGCAAGCTCCCTGCTGAGCAGAGTGCCCGATGTGGGGCTCGATGTGGGGCTCGATTCCATGACCCTGGGATCATGACTTGAGCCGAAGGAAGAGGCTTTAACCCACTGAGCCACTCAGGCACCCCTGCTTTTTATTTATTTATTTATTTATTTATTTATTTATTTATTTAAAAGAAATATTTTATTTATTTATTTGACAGAGAGAGATCACAAGTAAGCAGAGAGGCAGGCAGAGAGAGAGGAGAAGCAGGCTCCCCACTGAGCAGAGACCCCGATGCGGGGCTCGATCCCAGGACTCTGAGACCATGACCTGAGCTGAAGGCAGAGGCTTAACCCTCTGAGCCACCCAGGTGCCCCCCTGCTTTTTATTTTTTAAAAAAGATTTTATTTGAGAGAGTGAGCGCATGCAGCAAGGTGGGGGTTGGGTAAACGGAAGTACAGAGGGAGAGGGAGAGACTCCCCAGTAAGCCTGGGGCCAGAAATGGGGCTCAATTCCAGGACCCTGAGATCATGACCTGAGCTGAAGTCAGATGCTTAACTGACTGAGCCACCTAAGTGCCTGTGATTAATGCTTTTAAGACACTTAAGAAATACTTACTGAGCGCCTACTTTCTAGAGTTCCCACCCATCATCTCTGTTCTCTGTGTCCATGAGTTTTTTTTTTTTAAGATTCCACATTTAAGTTGTCTTTCTCTGACTTATCTCACTTAGCATAATACCCTCAAGGTCCATCCATGCAATTGCAAATGGCAAGATTTCCATCTTTTTTTAATGGCTAAAATAAAATTTGTATATATATATCCTTTATTCATATACATATTTGTGTATGTTATATGTACATACACTTTCTTTATCCATTCATCCACCGATGGACACTTAGGTTCTTTTCCTATCTTGGCTGTTCTAGATAATGCTGCAGTGAAAATGGGGGTGTGTGTGTGCATATATTTTTTTGAGTTAGTGTTTTCATTTTCTTCAGATAAATACCCAAAAGTAAAATTGCTGGATGATATGGTGGTTCTATTTATAATTTTTTGAAGAACTGCCATACTGTTTTTTTTTTTTTTATAATGGATGCTCTAATTAACATTCCCAACAATGCACAAGGGTTCCCTATTGTCTACATCCTTACCAATAGTTACTTCTTGTCTTTTCTAGAATAGCCATTCTAACAGGTGCGAGATGACATTGTGGTTTTGATTTGCATTTCCCTGATGTCTTTGCATAGTGATGTTTACATCTTTTCATTTATCTGTTTGCCATCTGTATGTCCTCCTTGGAAAAATGTCTCTTCAGATCCTCTGCTCATTTTTAAATCAGTTTGTCTGGTTTTCCATTGTTGTTGTTGTTACTGAGTTGTAGGAGTTCTTTATATATTTTTGGATATTAATCTCTTATCAGCTATATAATTGGCAAATATTTTCTTCCATTCACTATTACTTTTTAAAGTCTTCTTATATTGTTACTTGAGATTATTGAATTTTCAAGTGTCTTCATCATTCAGTATGTCCGCAACCGCTGACTTACTAAGTACCGGTTGCCTGACATTTCCGTATTTTCTCAGGCAACTTTCACAGCTTGGTGGGATAGGTATCCTGTTCCTCATTTCATACTTGGTCTCAGGCTCTCCCAGCTGTCAGGGGCATCCTGCAGTTTCCCCCCGGGACGGGCCTAAACTAGATGCTAGAAATCTGGTTTCCAATCCCAGTCCTACTACCATCAACTGTGCGACCTGGGGCACCCCAGTCCGGCCTCCCTAGCAGGGACAGACTTTTATTATTGTTAGATTGTAAGTGGCACCTATCATCTGACACCCCTCCACCAGTGTCTAGACATAGTAGGTGCTCAATAAATATTTGTTGATTGCGGTGGAAGAAAAGTTACACTTCAAGTTTCTGCCCAGTTGGGGTTAAAAGGGCTGCAGGGAGGGGTAAAGCGAAAACTGGGCTCAGGGGCCGGGGGGCGGGACGGGGGGAAGACAGGCGGGGGTGTCCGGGAATTTGGAA